GTGTCTGGAAACCGAATCATCTACATCAAAGAAAAACATGTCACGTACTTGATTGCATACGAATTATGTATGAGGCATTTGTTACTTAATTTAACTTCTATGTTAAATCTGTGACACAACGAGTAATTTAAATAAATACTCGCATTTTTAAGCTCGTATTAATAAACCATTTATAGGAGCTTAAAACCGAAGTTAGGTTTGATATTAAGTAAGATACTTCCGAAACTTCGACCGAGCTTGATTGATTCGGATTTAATAATCACAATAAGAGACAAAGTGCTGCGTGACGTTTAGAAATAAGCGGAAATTTTGACAATCCTCCAATGGTGCACAATCAACGAGTAAGTATGTGTATTAAAGAGATATTTATTACGACCTTAGTATCGATCTCGCCATTGAGACGGGTCTATTAATACGGAACTTAGAAATGACAAAACAAAAACTAACAATAATAGAAAGGGTCGTAGGATTACTAACCTAGTACCCCGGGGAACACTTAAGACCAAAGGAACAATAATAGAAAGAGGGTCGTAGAACAGTACCCTGGGGAACACTTAACTTTACAAAGGAATCATATAATTTTCTTCAGTTACACAAATGTATGTATTTATATAGTATTGTTAGACGTAGTAGCTTTGATATTGTATAAATGACACCTAAAATGTTGTTGTTTTTATTTCGTTTCCTGTTTGTTCACTTATTAGCGTGTTCTAGTACCCAAGAGTTAGGCGTCAATGCCAAAGATAATTGTCATCACATAAATATGATCATGGCATCAAATATAATTAACCAGACTGTTGCTTACCATTATCATCTCTTGCATATTTTTAGAGCGTGAATTTCCATTTTTTTCTTGTGGTTAAAAGTTGTCTAAGTTAATGAGCCAATGCACAAAAAATAACTGAAAGATTTGTGTTGCAAATGATAATCTATTGTCTTTTGTTTCAATTTTAATTCAAAATCTTTAGGATCCATCCAGGTAACCGAAGTGAATGCCATGAATAATTAGCACATAAGGGAAGAAACTTACCCGACTGCTTGGACTTGCTGGGCTTTGGCTTGTCATGCACCAGCTCGGCTGACGGCACGTCGGGCAACTTGTCCGTCGGCACGTTGATTCCCAGCATCTCCGTGTCCAGGTCCTCCTGTTCAGATTGTCAGGGTCGATTAGTGTTTCATTCTTTACGATTTAACACAATATGTAACCGTCTTTGAAAAGTACTAATAAAAATCCAGACACTTGATTTGTTTAATTTCAGATTAAAAGTAAAATCCTGTACTCCCATTAATTAAAGTATGGAAACATTTAAATCTGTTATATATACTCTTATTTTAACCCTTTGCTGGTTAGACTTTAGATTAATATAAACCTGTTCAAGTTCCTCCAGCTCCTTCTCAAGTTCGTCCTCATCGACATCATTGGAGAAGGCAACATTGTTGGAGATGGCGTCGGTGATCTCGCGCGAGATGTCGTGTTGCTCCGCGATATCGTCCATAATATCGTGAACTTTGTCGATGTCACTGCAAGAAAGAGATCATTAGATTACTGGGGGAATTATATACACATCACGATGATTGGTAATTTGTAAATAAGTAAACAGAAAGCCTGATGTCTGTATGACGATCAACAGATATAATAGCTATAGTAATTTGACGTAGGTCCAGTTATTAGCCACTGGAAATATAATAGAATCCAATGATATCAAACACTAGAAAGCTTTGATTGTGACGATGCGACCTCATTCATCGTCGTCCCTCCTTTTTATCACACTTTCTGGTTCCTGGCCACTTAGGTTTGAAATTTTGAATCTTTCTCTAATTCTTTTTCTTCGTCATTTTGCTTCGTTCCGTCGCCACTCCTTACAAAATTCTCGAAGAGAGAAGACGTGGTATTCTCTAGTAAATTTACATTTTATAAAATGTCAAAATTTTCCTATGTATTATTTATGACGATGAAACGTATTTGCGCACATGCATCGCATATATTTTTGTGGAAAAGTTCAAATGTCGAAGCTACCGTAAACAGTTCCTAATGCGACAAGAAATTTAAGGATAAACCAAGGTCATCGTCAAGGCTCTTAAGGTTACACTACAAACTACAGAACATACTCTTGTGGTGCTAGAGCTGCGTGACATGATTAACGCCTACAGCACCAAATACTGTAGAGATCTGGCGTTAGGCTGTAGTATCAAGTAAGGTTTATCTGTACAAGTCCAATATCAAGCTTTTATCTTCTTTTTTATAAAAAAATATGTGCGCATGTAATCTCCATCTCACCTGATACAAAGTAACGATAGAGTATGCATACTTAAATAAAGCCTTGAAAAGGCACAAGTTATAGCATTCAGGATATAACTCTGCAGACAAGGAATTCCACTCCATAGCCGTTCGGCACATAAAGAAGTCAGAACAGAAACTATAGATACTCCCCAGAGCGGATGAGACACCTTCGCATCATCTAAATCACTGTTGGCCTATAATGAACATATGAAACTCACTCCTAGGCAGACTAAGTAAAAACAAAGATAAGAAAATTCTAGTTTTTAAATTCTGTTTGTCTAGTCTAGGGCAAATTGCTTAGAGATGTGGGGCTGCGCAGGCCATAACTAACCTACCCTGACTAATAAAAAGGCCTAGTTCCCACTATGCCCGACCGGCAAATTTGACGAGAAACCGGCACTCGGACTAGGTGTTCACATTAAGCCGGATCTCGCATGAAAACCGGAGACTACAGTCCTCACCTCAGTCGAATTCAGACCACTGCGCACGATAGACGACGAAATTGTGGTGTTGTGGTGGTATCTTAGAAGGATTAATAGAGTAAAAAGAAAACATTGGGTACATCCTATTTTACGGGAAAGATTTTTAATGGACCAACTGAGAAGTGACGCGTCAAAATTCTTCAATTATTTTCTAATAGCATCCCTTTTTCATGATTTATTGGGACGACTTTCGTCGTCATTCACATTATTCCGGTCCGGGCGTTCTGCCGGCGGTCCGCAGTGACAAACGATACGGCGTAATGTAAATAACTTAATATAAATTGTACAGCCACTAGCCTTTCCGGCAACTTTATCGACTCGGCAATTCTCCTGATTAGTGGAAACTAGGCCTAACAATAATAAATAACAAAAAATGTCGTCGATAACAGGAACACATCACTATATTTAGTAATGTTTATTCAAATGATTGCTTCTTGAAAGATACTTGTGTCTTTCGTTGATCATACTTGTAGTGGCTAATTTCTTTTTAATAGTTTTTATCACGATGAGTAGCAACACTCGGGCGACATTATATGAATCAGTGTGTTTTGTTATATCTATGCGAGACGGGTAGATCATTATCTACCCATTTACACGTCCCACTACTGGGTACGGGTGTCCTCTCAGGCGAGGGTCTTCAGCCATAGTCCACCACGCTGTCCCAATGCGGGTTGGGGACTTCATACGTTTTCCGAGGTTTGTGAACCTTCTTCGACGTGCAGGTTTCTTCGCGAAGTTTTACTTCGCCGAAAAACTCATGGTAAATTTGAAACTAAATTTCGCACGTAAATTCCGAAAAACTTAGAATTTCGAGCCCGTATTCGAACGCACGGCTTCTACTTGAGAAGTTGTAGATCAAACCATTATCCTGTCAAAACTTTTTAAAGCTGGAATTGCCTCGTAGTAGCAAATAGATCCTTACAAAGGTGTACAGTTTTAAATCAGTTAACCACCAAAACTCTACTTGTCATATATCCTTCAATTTGTAATTAACCTTGTAGACACATAAATTGTCAAATTCCATCGAATATAGCATTCTTTTTAGTAAAAATCATGTATTCTCTCCTATTCACAAAAAATGTCAAACTGTATATTCAATTAAAAATATAGCAGGGGAATGGTGACCAAATTAGGTTGACCCTGTGTCTTGGGATGCCAGGCCTCTGAACCAGACCAATACTCACATATATGTATATATAAGATATAGCATTACTGTAAATTTGTTCCAAAACTAATGTAGCAGAGTAACTGCCCTTCTCATTAGGCGATAAAATTTAAAGGTGTTACTATACCTTGGTCAATTAGCCGCCCAGTTCATATTACGACAAAAATACTGCATAAGCAAGAAACTGAACTTAGTCATTGCTAAGTAAATTAATAAAACACTATCTTATTTGAAGTATGAGGTAAAATTTATGTTTACCACTTTAGAAGTGATTACGAACTATGAATTACAAAGGTAGTAGTAATGTTAATTGTGTCTACTAATAAGTTACCTTTCTTTTTTTTACGAAAGGGAAATACTTTAAACATACCCTCGAGCCCGGGGTGACTCAGGGATTATGTAGGATCAACCCCCAAGTGGGAGGAGTACCCACTAAAACCAGTCAGGTGTTGTGAGCGGCGTGGGATACCGATGATTCACCGCCACGACGCCCACAACTTCTAGAGTTTCTTGCTCATTCTTCTCAGGGGAATCTATCTCACAAATGAGTAGTAATTTGTTCATCAAATAAAATACCACTTTTTCATAAAAAGTGTGTAAAAGTGGTATTTTGAATTTAAATTTTTATTAAATAATATAATTAACTTGACAATGTGTACACTTCATTTTATGAGACAATATTAAACATAAAGTATTTTTACTAGAAACGAAACGGATAGTGATTAGGCCGGATACCGGATATTCGGCGAGCACCTATACCGGATAGCCGGATACCCGGCCGCCAGATATCTGACCCACTGCCGAAAACATTTGTTAGTCAATCATTGCACAATCACATTGACGCTTTGATTTGTTGTGGTCACTTGGTTTTTATTAAAACGATTAATTTATTCGATAATATAAACAAATACATAAGAGAAAAATGTTAATAGTGAAAAATATCGCAAATCAGGCTATATTCTAATATCAGTCCTGTTTGTTTGTTGTGCGGAATGCAAATTTCTCGTGGTGAAGAAGAAACAAAAGCAATTACATAATTCTTTGGCTATATTAAAAGTTCTAGTTGTTATAAGTATAAGCCTAGCACTTGTTACGCCCGTTATTATTTTGTTTCAATTTAATTTCATTAATTTGTTTGTGATCTAATTGTAAGCATTGATACCAAATTTGTCAAAAAAAATTATAATCTACTTACACGTTTCATTATTGTAGGAACAAATTGTATTTGAAGACAGTTCAAATCAATCGTGATCGCGACCCTTTCATTTGGTCGTCTGGCAATAACAAGTAGTACTTAAAAATTAACAAACAAAGTTTGCAAAAGTTTATAATGAGAAACTGTCCTCTGTAGCTGGTCTCGTTTATGAAAATAAATAGAACCAACTTTACCACTAAATGCAGAATAATTGACCTTCATCCACCATAATTTGCCTTTAATGAAATTTGAGTACTAAATTTACAGATAACGTTATCTAACTTCATATTTCTTTGAGTTACAAGTAATAAACAGAGTGTCAACAATCCTTTACCGATAAATCAATTTATTTAGCGTACTGCTTTTTTTCTTGCAACTGATTATGAATTTTTCTGTTTTAAACATGCGGTATCCGGCCGGATATTGTTCTACTATCTGGTATCCGGACGGATAGTAAAAATAGGCCGGATACCGGATATCTGTTTCATCTCTAATATTTGCTACAAACCCTCTATAGGGGTTATTTGGTATCGTACACAGAGCATGATTTGATAGCAAAAACTATAAATATGATAAAATTTTGGATTTCGTCACAAAATTGCTGATGCAATTACTAGTTGATTTTGTTAATTACTATTTACTTCAAATACTTAAGGCTACAATTCTTACAAACCATAAAGGGTGGTTAAGGTGGTGGCTTAATGTTAAAAATAACCAAAAAATAAACATACATGTCCTTGTGTGCCAATCTCATGGCATCAGCAGCATCCTTCATAGTGTTGAGGACTTGGGCGTTGGTGGTAGCACCCTCCAGCGCCTCCCGTTGGGCCTCGATTTGTGTCAAAGTGCCGTCAATCTGTGTTAGCTGCTTTTCATATCGCTTCTTACGTTTGAGGGCTGCAATTGCAGCTGAAAGAAAAATGCATGAAAAATTTGTGGGTGTGGTATTATTTGTATTTGTAATATAATATGTAGGTCAGTTTGATTAGTTTATGTTTTATGATTATTAGTACAAAGATTGAACACTAAGAAAAAATCCTTCGATCCGGTCGGATTTGACCCAGTGCTTCAGCATACTATGGAACGACCCAGCAGACCTTAAGAATTTTTAAGAATTTCATTTCTTAACAATGTGTTTGTTGTATCTTATATACCTATTATTATATCTTTCTTTTTGGTTTTTCAACTTTTTTGCCATAGCCTCATCTGTGAGATCTCTATGAAAGTTAGTTTATTATATTGTCCCTGGAAAGGCGAAATTACTAACCTCCAAAAGGCCAAAATGGCGCTTTAGTACTTTCGCCTTTCCAGTGACGTTATATTATGTACTAAGTTAGTTTATTATGTATATATACATGTGTTGTACATATTATATATATATATATATATATATATATTATGTATATATATATGTTGCCTGCTGTCTCCAAAAACGCACTTGCAGTGTTCCATCACCAAAAGTGTCTTCCTTAACTAGATGCTGGCAAAATCATTGTTTGCATTGATGGAGCTATCAAGTCAAAGTTTTGTGTCGATATGGCTCCACATTTTGCGCAACGATTCCGCCAACATCAGGGTTGGAAGACTCAGCGCAATGTTGAGACAAATTGATGGTTTTTACTGTTATTACGAGTGCTATGATGAGACAAATTGACAGTTATTGAAAGTTTTAAGTAGTTTTGAATGATTTGTTTAGTATTTAGTTGGATTAAAATATGTGGTGAGTATAAAGTAATTAATTAAATATATAATAAATTAAATAAATAATTTAATATATAATATAAAAATTTAAGATTTTTTTTTATTATTTTCTCAGGCATCTAACAGCACTGGCAGTCGTACTGTGCCTTGTGAAGAAAACAAAACCAATCAAGAAATATCAACCATTTACGTTAAAAATGCCGTTCATATTTTAAACAGATTTTTCGTTCAAACCCTCCCTTGCATTTAATTACTTTTTTCACTAGTCTTGGCATACAAGCAATCAATTTGTCGATTGTTTCTTGTGAAATATTGTTCGAGCTTTCTTGTAAAGCCTTCCACATGTCTTCTTGCGAGGAGGGACAACAACTGCGCACATTTCTATCAAGCTCTTCCCACAAAAGCTCAAACGGGTTAAGATCCAGGCTCTGAGGGGGCCACACCATATTTTTTAACACCCCTTCTGTTTCTTTATGTTCTAAGTAATCCCTGCATAATTTTGAACTATGTTTTGGATCATTATCTTGTTGAAAATAAAATCCATTTCCAATTAATCTTAAACCAGATGGAACGGCATTTTGCTGCAGTATTCGTTTATACTGCTCCTTTTTTATTATGTCTTCAACTCATACCAAATCTCCGGTTCCATGGCTCGAGAAGCATTCCCGGACCATAATGGAACCACCACCATGCTTGACTGTTGGCACCACACATTCTGGCATCATCTTTTCCTCAGCACTATGTCGATCAAAAATTCGTTGTTTTGATCCAAATATTTCAAATTTGGATTCCTCTGTCCAAAGATCTTTTTTAAAGTCTTCTTCGGTCCAGTCTCGATGGGTAAGAACCCACTGCATCCTTTTCCTTTTGTTAGCCTAAGTAGCGGTTTTCGAACGGCGACGCGACCAAATAACTTAGCATCTCTCAATCGTCTTTTTACTGTGATCAATGACACAGGTTCAGATCGGGATTTGTTCACTTCTGCGCGGATTTCTGGTGCTGTTATACGTCTATTCCGCTTGCTGGTAACGATGATGAACTTATCCTCGATAGAAGTCGTAGCTTTCGGCCTTCCTGATCGCCGACGCTCTTGATTACTGCCAGTCTCCTCGTATCGCGCTAGTGTGTTATGAACACAAGTCTTCGACAACTTCAGTTGAGTGGAAATTTCAAGCTCTGATTTGCCTTCATTGTGTAAAACAACTATAACAGAACGACTTTCACTGCTAATTTCACTTACTTTTCCATTTTAAGATGTCTTCACTGTAACAACGATGAGCTTCGACTAACCAAGATAAAGAAAGATTAATTCCATGAATACTCAGGTAATAAATATGAAAGTTTTAGGAAGCAAAATAGTCATAAATTTCGGATAGCGCGAAACAAAACCAAAATAATTAGTTAAAAAATATTACAATGACTCTACCATCTGGCCCTAGCGCGGCACTCATTCATGTTTTGAAACAATAGACCTTTATAGGATGATAACTTAAAAATTTACAAAAAGAATGACTCTTACAATTTTTCTAATAACAATAGAATACGCAGGTGTTTAAATTAATTATTTATCTCAAGTAGTTTTGAAATATTTTGTTGGTGGCAAAGATTTTTACTAGAGGTCTCAAACTTTTAACCGGCAGTGGACCAGCCACAAACATATGAGAACACAATACACGCACAATCAGGTTTGGTTTTATCACATCCCACCTACTCTAAACATACACCCATTTTTATAGCATTATTTTTTACTTTTTGATTTGCATTTAAGACTTGATTTATGCCTAGTTAAGTCTATTGTATTTTTTTTATTTTTTTTTTTATTTTACCTGCTTGGACGAAGCGACATCTTCATTCTTGTTATGTATTCAGCTTCTCTGAAAAACCACCGTAACAAGGTGTTTTCACATTCTTGTTACAAAAAGCTGAGTGGAGACCATTTTTGTAACTTTAAATGTAATTCTTTTTTTATTTTGTATTTATCATAAGATTATTTTATTTTTGTTATCATTCTGTTATAAATGTTATGTCATAAGTTTACCAAATAAACTACTTTTCTTACTTTCTTTCTTTTAATTGCTGGTTACAGTTTAGTTATTAAATTTTTTAGAAAGTTATGCAAAGTAAATATTAGTGGGCAGTGAGCATTGGCCAGGATGGAACTATAACACTTTAAAAAAGTAGAACTTTTTATCAACAACAATTTCGACTCATCCATAGAACAAAGATCTATGTGCAAAACTTCTTGGTCTCAGGACATAGTACATTTAGTTAGTTCTTTTTCACTGTGGAAGTCATATCGACCATTGTTGATTTTATATTTCCAAAACGAATTAAGATATGTAAATTGTCAAAAGACCTTTACATAGGCCTTAGTTTGAATAACGAAATTATTCTCGCAACAAACTTATTCTCTTTTCGGTATATAATCACATCGGACTCTGTTCATGTTAATGACAACAAAAAGGATAACAAAATATAATAATATATAATATAATATCTTCTATTAAGTAAAGTCACATTATTTTCTCTTTGGACGTAGATGACTCATACTGAAATCTGATAGTTGCTATGATGGTAATCATAACTTGATGCACTTTTATGTCTCTACCATCTAAAAAGTTTATTCTGTCTATTTTAAACCATGATATAACATTACATTCCTACTGGACAATACCTCTTGATATAGTCGACTACCTGCAAGGTCATATCTATACTAAACAAAAATTTTGATTGTAGGTAGGGACAGAAGCAAATTTTTTAACAAAAATAATAGAAAATTACCTCGCTTATTCTTTGTGCCATGTTTCCTAGCAGATTGTTTTTCTAATTCGATTTTCTTTTCTAAAAAATCTTGTTTCTTCAGCAATAGCTCCTCAGTTTCGCGTAACTTTTGTATCGCTTCATGCGTAGTGGGGCCCTTTTCTTCCTTTTTCCCACCAAATAATTTGCCGAGGAAACTCATTTTGCACCTCTATAGTCTAATAAATGCTACAATAAACACGACAATTCACAAAAATAAACATAAATTACGCGTAATGACGAGGAAATTCAACATTAAATTCACTTCTTTTTGAGGATTATGCGTCATCGACGTTTAATTCAAAACATATGGTTCAATAAACTGTTACCAACTGTCAGTACACTCAATCCTCTAATACAAATTTATTCATCACTTTTTACATCTTTTTGAATAATTAAACTACTTCCCAATTTTATTATAAAAGTCATTCAATTTTTTAATTCTTTTCAAGAACTGCATCTTATTAAATAAAATTTAAAGCAAATCAAAACCATATCGGTTTTTGAACACACAACATGCAGTATTCTGTAAAAAAATATCGTGTGTGCTCAAAAACTTCATTTGATATTTAGATTTCAAATGTAATACACAGGTTTTCTTTTTAGATGACGGCGAAAATTGTATTGGTAGTTTCTTCCTCTTTGCTTCGTTTCCTCGTTTGTTTACTTTTTACGCATTGTAGTGCGGAAAAAATTATTAACATAAAAATCACTTAACTATGTTATAATTATTAGTATACAGTTATAAGACACAAAATTTAAAATCTTTCGGGACGCACTTCCTGACTTTGACAGTTGACATTTGTCTTATACTGTTTTTTTTATGGTCGGCGAGTCATTTCACCGCATGCGACAAAATAATAGAAATTCTTTTGAATTTTCAATTTATTTACATCAAAAATAAATTTAACTTTCAGTCCAAACTGTAAAGATGGTTCGAGTAATAACACAAGATACCTACGATGAAGTTGTGAAAGAAAATATGGAGGAGTTCGACATGAGTGCTGAGGAAGCTATAAAGGAGGCAATAGCTCAGTTTGAGGCCCAGGTATTTATCAAGTTACTATTAAACAAAGAAACAGATAATGCAAACAGCGAGTAGAATAAAGTTAATAACAATTCCTTAAGGTTTTTTGCGAATTTCCGGTGCTTTTAAATTACGCTACTACCTTAGGAAATCTAATTGGTTTTTAATTAAACTCTTCTATTTGAGCACAATGTTAAAAAGTAGAATATATGTAAAATATGCCTCGGAGAATATAACAAGCGAAACTGTGCATCTAATGTACAAATTCAATTTAGAAACTTAATTAAAACTAAATATGAATTTTAAAACATTACGTCAACATTTAAAAACGTTCCTTTAAACCTAACACATCATCATCATCTCAGTCTGTTAACACTCACTACTGGGTGTAGGCCTCCTCTTTTACATGCCAGGTCAATCGGTCCTGTGCGAATCACATCCACAATCCTCCGTCCACCCAAAGACATCGTCTGACCATCTAGTAGGTGATCTGCCTCGAAACATGCTCCCCTGAAAAGTCTACGAAATGTTGCTTACTACAAAACACTGACAATGTGTACTTCTTAAGAGTGTTACATACTGACTGTCAGCATTATGACGTTGTCAGACAGAAACCAACCAGTTACTCCATATTAAACAGTATCTAGACACGGAGCAATGTTATGACTAGGATAACATGTATTAAGTTTTACACAATGTCTTTATTGCCTAAAGTTAGCATGTTTATATAAAGTGCTTTTATTCACTACACAGTTTAAAAACTCTATAGATGGAGTAATTACATTAACAGTAATGACATGCATTTTTCAGGGTGTAGACCTGTCAAACATAATGAAAGACTTATGCCTGGGTAGTGGAGATGATCGTCTTGTGTCTACAACTGTGGCTCAATTGAAAGAACTTAATAAGAGTGATGAGGATGATGAGATTTTGAAACACTTGGATATTTTGAAGGTAAAGTAAATTATTTTGAGTAACATTAAAATCAATGTATATATGCTTCCTGAGATATCTGGGTAGAAGCCTATGGTCTTGGACATACATTGATCCTAGAGGATGAGCTTAGCTAAGCTGTCTGGAATACCTGTTTCAGGTTTGGGGCTGTTGAAAACTTACCTGACTTCAGCTTTCGCAAGCTCACCTGCTACTGTTGGGGTGGCCTAAAATCCAAAAAAAAAAACCACTACCTTCCTCCACTGTAACTTAAGCTGTAGATATCTTTTTAAGACTGTCTGTGATTGACTAGTGAATCAGACAAATCCGTACTATAATGTTTTTTTGGAATGAAGTTTTGAGAAAACGTTTGGCTCCACTTTATCAGTCATTACTCTACTGATAAAGTCCTTCTGATCCAGTATCGCCTTCAAGTGGCTCCACCTAGTTGCTCTTTTGATCATCGTCCATCTTAACTTTTCAATTTTTACCTTTAAACAAAAATCTTATAAGGTCTAATAAGTATTTATATGTCTTATAAGATAATCTTAAGGTGAATAGGTCACCTTCTTATTCTCTGTCATATTCCTATAACATTTTTTGTTGATTAAATTGTATATGCGTCACCTCTGGCCAGGGGTATCACTGTCCTACCTTTTAACTCCCTCTGTGGCCGGTTTAGATTCGAAAAATATTTGTACGGCCTACATTTTTTTCTCTCATGAGTTTGGGTGTAATTTGTGGTTATTTTTTTGTGTGTCCATGGCCCCGCAATACAGTGAGATAGATTATGAGTGTGAATTTTATTTATTTATAATACACATACTGCAATGCTAAACTCCTATGCTTCATACAGTAGGTTAGAGAGAGCTAGTGCAATCACCAGCATAGGAGATGCAATACAAAAGCAGAAGAAAAAATTGCAAATGTCTATAGACAGTACTGCTGCCTATAGACATTTCCAATTTTTTTTAGCCTTTCATCCTATAAATTCAAAAAAATTCTATTCTATTTATATTTTTACAGGCAGAATGCAACAAAGACATAGCTCACCGTGTCCGTGCGGGTAAAGACGGCGTTTACAAAATACTCATAGATCTGTTAGAAGCAAGATATAAGCAATATCATAAAGATAACGAGGTTGACAAGAGAATTGTAGTTGAAACCCTGAACTGTTTGACAGCATTGATGGATACGCAGCCTGACTTGCTGGATGATCATGGTATTGATTTGATTATGAGGTAATTACGTGGAACAGTTTTCTGGTTTCAGACTATTCTATTTCCTATACTATGAGTATCATAAGCTTAAATTCATTGGGATAAAGTTTTTTGCTTAAATGCTCAATGGTTATAGTTCGTTTGTACACATGCCAGCATATTTATCATTTATCATTTCCTAAGTTTAAAAACTACATTTAAAATATTTTGATCGTAAAGTCACATTACAAAATTGAAGACTATGTGTTAGATAAAGATGTATGGAAAGACGACACGGCTCCAGAATCCACACAAATTTGATTCAAAGTGTATTCCATAGCATTTAAGTTTATTTGAAAAGAGCAATCCCTAGTTTCTTGCTCGTTCTTCTCAGGGAAGTCAGCATAGTGAACAAGCAGTAATAATAATAATAACGCACACACTCAACATAGCCCCGCACTAGGGAAACCCTGTGTTGCGGGTGCCATGGACACACACATAGACCACAAATTACACCCAAACTCACGAGAGAAATAAATGTAGGCCATACAAATATTTCTCCCGGCCCGGGAATCGAACCTGGGACCTCTGCGTGGCAGTCCTGCACGGTAACCGTTCAGCCACAGAGGCAGTAGCTTAATGTAATGTAAATGTGACGTTGTCAAGTGTAAATTTATTTTACCTATGGAATAAATGATCTTTGACTTTGACTATCAAGCTACATGTTGACGTATGTTGTTCCGTTGTACTGAAGGCGATTTTCGAACAAAAATTTGTAGTCTGATGTGCCGTTGTCCATACATTGAGATTGATTGAGTATACCAGAAAAACAATTTTTTTTAATTTATATTTATATTATTTATTAAAAAAATTGATTCTAGTATGTGAGGAATGTGCTGCCTCGCATGGACTAATTTATAACGTCAAAAAGACTGAGTACATGGTCTTTGGGGCTGCCGGCAAGAAGAGTCTTGAAATGTGTTGCCTATAATGCTCAATGGAATTCCATTAAAGAGAGTATCACACTTTAAATATTTAGGACACTAAATTGCCGACGACCTCAAGGACTATATGGACATGGAACGCGAGCGCAGGGCACTGTCGGTTTTGGCGAACATGCTGACTCGCAGGTTTGCTCGATGTACGGTGGAGGTGAAAGTCACTCTTTTTAGAGCCTATTGCACACCACTGGACGCGGGTGCCTTGTAGGCCAGCTGTACCCTAAGCTCGCTCAGAGTCCTGCGTATGCAATATAACAACGCCTTCAGGACGCTGCTGCGGCTGCCACGATTCTGTAGCGCATTTGCCATGTTTGCTGAAGCTCGCGTCGACAGCTTCATGGCACACTTACGGAAGAAATCGGCGTCTTTATTAAACAGAATACGTAACAGCAGCAACGACCTATTGAAGACTATCGCGGATAGGAGTGAGTGCCCCGTGATGCGGCACTTAATAACAACCACAAAATCTGTAGTAGAATTTAAGTACTAACCTAATTATAAGCTTTTTTTGTTACTGACACTTCATGGATCTCTGTTGTATGTAGTAAAGATTTATTATTATTATTATATCTACTACAAAGTCGTGCGCCTGATGATAAGCTACACGCCTGTCCATAACAGTTGCAGTGCCACTCAGATCTTTAAATTGCAAACATCTGAGGGGCACTGTCACTGTGCCCGTCTCCTTGGGACATAAGTTGACAAGTCTCATGTGTCCGTAATTTCACCAGTGAAAGTCACCACAATTGCTATTTTATCATTGCATGTACACCCTGTATTGCTGAATTTAGAAATAAATATTTAAAAAGATTAAATCCAGCGGCTTATATGTAATTTAAATGGTATCTATATACCTCTTATAAAATTTTTATATAATATATATATAAAAAAAGATTTTTTATTAGAAACGTGTACACATAGTCTTATGACCTGTCTAATTACAAATGTCTTGTCTTACAAAAGTTTATGGAGACTGATTCAGGGTCCATGCAGCACTTAATTACTGCAACCAGTGATTAATCTATAATGGTCGCCACTCCGTATCAAGGTCAACTGAAATAAAAATCTTCAGGATTTTCTTTACAACCTGCTATGATTACGGATTTTTTATCGAAATAGAGACAATGATAACATGTATCAAACAACTTCACATCAACCTTATCTTAAGCTAGTGAATTCTCTATGTTATGAATACCAAACCTATAGAATTCATTCCAGAATGCTATCTAGAACACTCCCTACCGATTTAAAGTGTGTTACTCCAGTTGGTCGTAACGGGAAATGGTCACAATAGAAATAGTTATCCTAACTTGATGTATCAGTTTGAAGACTAATTAACCCCCTTGATACCCAATTATAAGGTGTCTTTACGTGTGGTTTAAAAATTATTTTCTAGGTACAGATTCTTTTTTCAGAATTCTAGAAGAAACAAAGAATGAAGAAGTCCTAATAGCTACTCTACAATGGGTAACAAATTGTTGTATAAAACATGAAATAAACAGACAAAGACTGTTTGCTAAGAACATTGCAGCTAGATTGAAAATTTTGCTTTCCAGTAAAAATCAAAAGGTACTATTCGTATGCTAGTTTTTTTAAACAAGAATATATTTTATGTTTTTACTTTTTTTTTTGTACATTCAATTTATTATAGACTTTGTATGTATTAATGTATCAACATTACTTAATATATATATATTCGTATGTACATTTGATTTATTAAATTTATCTGTGTATTTATTGAGTATAGTATATTTCATTTCTTTACTTATCTATTTTTAGTGCCACCCCAAAAACCAACTGTCCTCTCAGATTTTCAAAGGTTAGTTGGAAGAAATCTCTTTATGGGATAAGCTCGCCTTTGTACACAAATATTTAAATTGTTTCTGAAAATTTGTAAGTTACTTTGTGGTACAATAAAGTGTTTAAATAAAATAAAATAAATAAATCAGCAGATTTTTAGGGCACCACTTTTGATACTTTTTAGTAGCAGTAGAACTCTTTATGAAAGAGTTTATCCAGGGAAGCACTGCCACCTTGCCTATTTATGCAGTAATGTGAGCATCGGTTTTGTTATTTTTTATTACAGGCTCATGGACTTAACAACTTACGTCTTAAGGTGGCGAGCGCAGTGGCAGTGCCCCTCAGGTCTTTGTAATTTAAACCTCTGAATGGTACTACAACTGTTATGGACAGACGACTCACGACTAGGTCGTCCCGTCACGTGGTGTCTTAAAAAAATATTTCCGGAAAAGGATGTGACGTAGCAATTTACTTGCGTACAGAATTATCTCTACATGAGACCATGTTAATTACACACGGTATTGCTGTAACATCACTATAGTCAGCAGACAAGGAAAAAAACTATCTCTACACAAGCGAGCTTTGCCTATTTGTGTTATTGCTAAACCTGCTGAACCGAGTAATGAGGACTCGCTGGATAAGGAAGGCTGACCAAACATTATTGAATACTTTAAAAACGCCTATGTTCGGCTGTGGACTGCTAGATATATTTTGGCACGCACACCTTAGAATCCTAATGAAAAAATCCTAATAAAAAAATCCTAATCCTATTATTTTGTTTATTTTTTTAATAATATCAAGTGACGGGACAAACTAGTGCGCCTGATGGTAAGCTTCACACCTGTCCATAACAGCTGCAGTAGAGTACTGTGTTCTGGTTTGGAAGGGTAAGGGTGCTGGTGAAATTACAGGCACATGGGAGTTGTCAGCTTATGTCTCAGGGTGACGAACGCTGTGGCAGTGCCTGCAACTACTATGAACAGCCTATTAATAAGTATGATAGAAGCAGTCAATGTTAATTATATCAAAATAAATCAAATGTAAATTTTGCCTTGGGTGATAGTATAGGGCTGCTCCGGACCCCCAGTCTCGATAACCCTAGACCACATCTATAAAAATAAAAGGACGAAAAGTATTTTTTATGTGAAATCGACACAATCTCCCCTGGACCATATAAAATGACCAAACTAAAGTACTTCTCTCGCTAGTATAGTTAAAGAGCAAAATATTAAAAAAAGATTTCTTACAGTTGATAAGCGAATGTTTGCAAGTCATACGAAAGTTTACCCTAGATGACGACATCAGAGTTGAATTTGGAAGAGCACACGAACATGCGAGGGAACTTGGTGTTCTATTATTGGAACCGCTTATGGCATTATTGAAAGGTATTAATCCATTTTTTTTATCCAAATTTGTTATATAGGCTGTAAGAAAAAGGCGCCATCACTTGCAACTGGTATTCGTAACTATGACAAGGATTTTACAAAAAAATTGGAACAAAAACAACGTTTTTGATAGATAAAAAAAAAGAATATTATAGAAAGCTGTTTCAATATAATGCGTAACATCTAATGAATGGTATATTCCGTACTTTTGTCGTACGCATTAGAAAGTCGAAAGCACAGCGTGACACACACATTCTAGTCGAGTACGTATATTATAATATTCAAACACTTGCATGGAATAACTCATTACTTTCTGGATTTAAAATATTGTTCTCATTAATGGACAAATTGATTCCTTAAAAAGTCATGCAAAATTTCCCCAAAATAAGGTATTTTTCAAAAATACAATTTTTTATATTTTTTTGCTGTGTTCTGAATTTTTTTCTGAAAAATATTCAAAAAATCCCCAAATTGTAATATGCGGAATTATCCACATGTAGGTAATTACCAAACGCTATTTGTAATATATGGTGTTGCAGCACTCTTCGTGGACGTGAAGTAATACCAAGTTGATAAGAAATGTTACTATATTTTCCGTAACTGATCACACGTTCCTCAATAATGTAGTACAATCACTTTATGAAAGTAATTTGCTCGTCTAGCCTTTCGGACTCTTGCACACACCGGCCGATTCCGCCACTTTGTCCATCCACTCAACCGTACTTTTTAGTAGCAGGGTGGTATGTGGCGGAAACGGCCGGAGATTGGCTGATGAGAAAATTAAGTCAAAATGAATACTCTTTACATTCAAATACTTAAAATAATAAGTGTGAATAATTATTTTAACGATCTACAAAATTGAACATAGTTGGTAGTAAACCTTTCCTTCGAATTAAACTGATATTGCAATTTAACATTATGCATTTGTGAATAGCGCCATCTATTTGTCACCAATATTCTATGCAATACAATGCCATCTAGTGGCCACATACGATACTATTTATTATGTATGAATACATATTTCATTAATCTACAATAAAACTATTCTACAATGGGTATAAAAAAAATATCCCTTCGTAAAAGTTGAAAAAATATTGGTGCTACAAATTAACATAAAAATAATTGCGATTTTTTTTTTTATTGAATATCATAATGTTTTCCTAACCTATATTTTTTGTCAAATACTCCATTAGTTTGAAATTATGGTGTAGAAAAAACTTTCATATATTTCTCACAGATGGCGCCACGGTAAAAAGTCGTTTAAACCTAAAACAAAGATCTCTCACAAGCACATATAGAGAAATTCGTTAGGTCTGATGTTTCGTTCCGTAGCTCAGTACTCAGTTGTGAGAGTAGTTAGCCCCGGCCTAGCAAACAGGCGCTGTTTGAGCGATTTTGTACCTATAATAATAAAAATATTTGTTCTTCTTGACGTATCGATGGTATAGACTGTTAGCCCAAAACTACGGAATACGTTTGCCAGAGTGGTGAAAGGATTTGCCAATCGATGTAAGATTTAGAGTACGCGCCATATGTAGAGGGAACTCCTTTCGCGCAGCCCCAACTAATAACACCAAAATATTTATTAAAATCTGATAAGTAGACCAACTAACACTATAAATAATCGAACAGAGTAACCTATTCAATGTAAGTTCGTTTTACGTCCACAGATAACACGAAGCCACCACTAGTGTCAGAGTTAATGTTGACCATAGCCACCTTACTGGTGAGACATGAATTATGCAAGATGGCGTCTGACATTGGCGTGAATTCTTTATTTACTGTGCTGACTGACAATTATGATAATTCCGTTGTAGCACAACAGGCGAATAAATTGTAAGTATAGTAACCGAATACATAATCAAGATAAGACAAGTATACTTTTTTGGACCATTCAACTTTACATTTATTAAAATACGTTTACTAAGACGGAACGATGTTTTAGCAACCAATAATAATAGGGGTTAAAGTATGAAATTGCCGATTTGTACTGAAAATCTAAATTGTTTATTTTTTAAATTTTTAACAAATTTATTTAATCAAAATAGTTGCCATTATTATCTATACATTGCTGCCATCTAATGGGAAGGTTATTAATGCCTTTGCGATAGAACTCCGACGATCTAGACTGCACAAACTGTGTGAAAGCATTTTGTACTGCCTTCTGGGAAGAAAACTTCTTGTCACGTAGATAATTGTCCAAATCACGAAAAAAATGGTAGTCCGTTGGAGCAAGGTCTGGTGAATACGGAGGATGACGAATGGTTTCTAACTGCAGTTCCTGAAGGTTCAAAATGGTTTCTCGTGCTTTGTGAGGTCTCGCGTTGTCGTGGAGCAATAATGGTGAAGATCGATTCATGAGTCGGGGCTGTTTTACTGCTAGTTTTGTCAACATGGTTCGGAGTTCGGCACAATAGACATCTGCCGTTATTGCTTGACCAGATCGGAGAAAACTATAGTGAATAACACCATGCTGAGACCACCAAACAGTTACCATTACCTTTTTATTGGTAAGTTTTGCTTTAGGACTCTGTTGTGGCATTTGACCTGGGGTCAGCCATTGCATTTTTCTTTTCCGGTTATCATAAAGAATCCACTTTTCATCACATGTTACAATTCGATCCAATATTCCTTCATTTCTGTACCGGTTCAACAAGGCAACACAAATTTCAACACGCGTTTCTTTCTGCAGATCAGTCAAATCATGAGGCACCCATTTTTCGTATTTTTTTATTTTATTGATTTGACGCAAGTGAGTCAATATTGTGGGTAAGGTAACGTTAAACCATGCCGCTAATTCCTGGGTAGTTTGACTGGGATCGGCTTCCACTATCTCTCTTAATTCATCGTTATTCACCTGTGTGGGCGGTCTTCCTCGTGACTCGTTCTTTAAGTCGAAATTTCCATCACGAAAGCGTTTAAACCAAAATCGCACGGTGCGTTCATTAGTAGACCCCTCTCCAAACGCAGCATTGATATTGCGGGCTGTTTCTGCCGCGTTAGTTCCGCGTCGGAACTCGTATTCAAAAATCACTCGAATTTTCGCAGTATCCATCTTTCTTGTCTAAATTGAATAACAAAAACAATTGAAAGTCGATATTCAAATGTTTCAAATTTAAAAAAAAAAAATCACAGAAACCATTTGAAAAAAGTTTCATTCGAAAACCTCAAACCATGAAGATTCTATGAAAATTCAAAGAACCTATTGCAATAAAACGGCAATTTCATACTTTAACCCCTAATATTTTCAAGCGCTTCTTGGCCGTGGGCTACCTGACTGGTTCACCTGGGGATATCACGGGCAATCATTTCTTCCCGTGGTTCACCACTTAGTACTAAAGGCACATGGGACTGTGTCTTAGAGTACTGTGGAAGTACGCCTCAGATCTATGCGATTACTGATAGAGCGATGCTCTGATCATTATGATTAATAATCATAAAAAATACTAGTACATTGTGTATTAAGGTCGGCAAATAAGAAATTACGAGAGTTTGTTAGAAATTTGCGAGGAAATTGATACAACGATAATTTATTTCTTATGTGAAGAAATATCGCTTCACAACATAACATTTACCAATCTTCGAAGTGGCGGGTTTTTTTCAAACAGATTGCCAGCTATATAGATAATACAACTCGAAGTAAAATGTTATAGACACATGCAGCCTCGACGTATTAGATATAAAGTAATTACGTATTAGATATTAAATAATGTCCAAATTATAGAAATACTGCAGAATTTGAATTTACAAAATAAATTTAGTAAAATATAGTAAAATGCAAATGTTCAGTTTTTTTTCTATACTTGAAGTTTGTGCGCAATACATTCAGATTTTTTGTGCATACAAATCTTGGCGTATAAGAGAGTACAGTATAAATAAAATTATAAATCTATTACTGCCCTAGGACGGTAAAGTAATGAATAAGTCGACTTTGCCTGCATGTCATGGCACTGTTTAAGAGCAAGTGTGTTGAAAAATAAATTACGTCACAATAATTTTAGAAAATTTTATTTATTCACACATAAAAGTACAAGTATAGGAGTGTACAGAGACGTAATAAAAAAGGGTTCAACAACATTCCAACCAGTTACGTACTATTCATGATAACAGATATTTGACGTAAATTTATGTTCCCTATATTTTTATTATTCCTTAGATTAACTGACATAATTATGTCATTACTGTAGTACCTTCGTTCGTACTCAGCTTTCAAAAGCGAATTATACACGAATATAACAATTTAGGGTGATGGCACCTATGAGCGACATTTTAAGCGAAGTGTATTTAAGTTTAAAAAAAAGTTTGAAATAACTTTTTTGTTTTACATATCTCAAGAAAGATTATGCTGTAGTATGTTTCATAAAAAAGCTTTTTTTTTTCATATAGTATCAAGTGACGGGGCGAAGAAGTCGTGCGCCTGATAATAAGGTAGACGCCTGTCCATATTAGTTGCAGTGCCACTCAGAGCTTTAAGTCGCAAAGATATGAGGGGCACTGCCACTGCGCCCGTCACCCTGAGACATAAGTTGACAAGTCCCATTTGCCTGTAATTTCACTAGCTCCCTTCAAAGCTATCATAATTGTTACCAAAAAAACCTAAGCTATATTCTCCCTAAATCTCGTAGTAATGAACACCAAAAATCCTCTTATTAACTAACCAGTAATCGTATCTCACCAATTAACATCCAGTAATTGACATTTACCAGTAAGAAACGAGTTACTATGATAGAAAATTTTGTCCTAAATCTTATAAGAACTGAACTTTTTTAAAAAAGTAATTTTTATATTGATAAAGAAACAATTTTTTCGGATCTTATTCGCGAATATTTCATTTTGACTCTCAGCAATCCAAAGCCATGACTGTCGGACTTGTAAAGACCACGAAATGTTGTTTTGTTTGAGAAAACAAATATACGCTATTTTTAATCCGAAAACTATACGATAGTTTTATTTCCAATGTGTACAATCGCGAAAACTTAAGAGCTTGATGTGTTAATAATACATTTTTTTTAAATTTACTTGCTGACATGTAACTATAAATTTTGACGGAAAAAGCATTTTTACATAGATCTATTCGGAATTTCTAATTCTACATAGTGATGTAAAAAAAATAATTAGTCACAATTGCAAGTTACGTCGATCGATGTTTTAATTGATGATACATTCGCATCTTTTATTTTACACCCTGTATATATCTTTAATGCAAAATGGATAAAATTTTTTAAGTGTAAATATAGTCTTGTGTCTATAAGAAGTGATTTTTCCCTACCACAAATCTCGTGCAATATACTTTTTTCCAAAGACAGACTAGTTATCCACAAACGCATGTAGATAAGGTAGAATTTACAATGCACCGGTAAAAGTCTTGAATACCAGTAAACGAAAAAAGAAACACTGTATAAGCACTACCGTATAAGCATGCATTTTGTGTTCAATCCTGGACGTGCTTAAGCGCCTATGTTAATTCGATCCTTATTTTTTTAATATTAATATATTGAGGGTTAAAATTGCTGGTTTCACATTATATGAAGAAGGACTCAATTCTCTGTCATTCACATATTTTAGGTTAGGATACAGGCCCAGTAGATAATATTAAGCTGACTAGTTAAAACCTTACTATTTTAGTAAAAAAGTCTTTAGACATGAATTATAATTTCTATATAATCAAACCATATTGATTACATGACATTTCTATATTATAAGTTATAAATCTTACATTAAACAAGTTACAAATTAAAACCAAATTAAGTTATTTACTTTTGATTATTTGGTTTGATCTTTTGTTATAAAAAGAAACTTTTTGTTTGCTTACTTTTGTTCACTGGATATTGTGAAAATTAAATATCGTAATAATTTACGTCATTTTTACATTATTCTGTCACTATGCGGGTTTGTTCTTATTCACGAAAATATTGTCGTTTATGTTGATGATGTTGCCAAAAAATTACTTTGTTTTTGTCCCATGTATTGGAATTGGAATTTGCACTTATACGTGACAATTGTAAGGTTTCAATTGCCCAATTTATTTAATATCCACTCATTTTCTCAGCGGATTGATAATGCGATCGTACCCATAACAAACGTTTATCGTCAATAAATAAGGTTTTATTCTTTACAATTATTTCGTTCTCCAACAGAGACCTTTCATGTATCAGACCAACTCTCAGCTTTTGCGTTTCGACCGCCCTCTTTTCCAATAAATTCATACTATTATTCAGATCTCTCACTTCCTCAATCAACGCTATCAAAGATCCTTCTCTACAATTTTCGATGTTCGGTCTTATACTCTTAGTATTCAATCTCGTTTGAGCAACTTGCAGTCTTTGCGAAACCTTCATCCTTTCCTCGTGTAACGTCTCCAATATATTCTCCGTTTCAGCAATTTTTGACAACGTCAATTTTAGTTGATTTTCCAAATCAATTTTCACTTGCTGCGTCCTTGCAATTCTTTCACTCAAGACCTTATTCACTCTTACATCCTGACATCTTAGATCTCTAGCTGTATTTATCAATGTACCTTCAACTTTAGCTCTTAAAGCTTTAGAGTTGTCAATCGCATTTTTAAATTGATCCAAAGCGCTTACAGTATACTGTTCCCACAACTGTACATCAGATTGTCCATCTGCTAGTCTCGTCGATCCAGCTGAATCTTTAACATTAACAGATTTGAATTTCAAATGAGAATTAGCAGTCTCATATTTGTATGCTAAGTGTTTGTTACTCCAATCCCTTTCCAAAGCTTCCTTTGCAGCTATATTCGTATCCAAATGCTTCTCTATTTCTCTTAACATATCTCTATGTATTCTTTTTACGTTATCAATCAATGCTGATTCGGAAAACAAGGCTTCTTGCGGTTCGTCGTAGACTAAATCAGATTGCATTCTATTATTTCTCATATCTAAACATTCTTCGTTAATATATTCAGGAATTTTCAAAGTATCCATAGCATTCTTAAGCTGTTGCCTTTGATCTTCTAAAACAATGATTTCAGCATTAATATCCCTTATAGCACGTTCTAATTCCGCTTTCCAATAGTTAATATGACGCGCGCGATGTTTTAATTGATCTGTGCTGTCATCAAAATCGTTACAGGCAGTTTGATTGACTTTTACAATGCAGTTCTTTGTTATTGAGGTGTTATCATCTGTTATTCCGATGATATCTCCTTTTAGAATTCTTTTATTGTGTGTATCCCATTCAGGTACAGTTGTTAACGCATAGTTTCTTGTACCAAACGATAGATAGTCACCTCTTTGTGCTGTTGACATTTTGCTTCACTTTTAACTTTAAGATATTGTTCCTTTAATAAGAAGATAAAGAGAAATAGATGTGGTCACTAAAACATCCAAAGCAATGTTTGAAAATAGGTCAATGAATATTGATGAAACAAAATTGGTTACTAGGACACAATGTTACGTTGATGAACAAAGTTGTTAGTATTGCCAAGCAACATCGATCTAATAAAACGCCTTTAAATGTCGTAAGTATGTGAGGCAAGGATTATAAGGTGAATTGTGACCCAAAATTGAGGTTTTGATGTATTCCAATCAGAAAATCAGTTTTTCGACATTAGAACTTTAAAAAAACCAATCTCAAATGTTTGTGAAAAACCAATCTCAAATGTTTGTGGAATAATATCTATTTGCCAAATTTTTTGAAATATAAACGGAAAGTGGGTGAAATCCATTAAACCCTGATTCATCCCTAATTTGCCACACTGCGATGTGTCGAATTGAGAACCTTATCCTTTTTTTGAAGTTAGTTAAAAATACGAATTCAACTTGTTTTTTTATTGATGATGAAGACCCGAAACACGACTAAACTTCGCTCGATAAAAAAGTCACAAAAATCCGCAAAATTATTATTTTTTTGCTCTATTCGTACATTTACGGAAAAATCTGCTTCATTCGATTGTTATTAACGTGTAACACGGTGAACCTATGGAATACCGCCGAGTCCATTGTTCCTGCTATCATCCTCAGGGTATCATTGGCACTCTCATGCCATTGCAACATCTGTGACGTACTTTTTTGCGCATGCCAGAGACGCTGCAAAAACGAGGAAGCCTCAACAGAACCCTAAAGATGTTGTACGCTCGCTGTGTGATGTTGGTCCACAGTACAACTGCCTAAAAATGCCGGCAGTAAGCTCTAAAAAGAGTTATTTTTACATATACAGAGCGCCTAGGAAACCTCTGAAGATATTTGAAAGTAATTTTCTCTTCAGTGTTCCGTAATAAATACTTTAGAGTCCTCTATATATGAGCTTTTTTACAATAACTATAATGATACCATTTCGCCTTAATGCGAAAAAGAGAACAATTTTAAAATTTTTTTTTGTATAATATAAAGTGCCGGAACGACCTAGTCGTGCGCCTGATGGTAAGCTACACGCCTGTCCATAACACTTACAATGCCACTCAGAGCTTTAAATCGCAAAGATGTTATGGGCACTGCCACTGCGCCCGTCATCCTGAGACATAAGTTGACAAGTCCCATGTGCCTGTAATTTCACCAGCGCCCTTACCCTTCAATACCGGAACATAGTAATGGTGACATTACTGCTTGGCGGCAGAAATAGGTAAGGTGGCAGTACTTCCCTGGACAAACTCTTAACATATCGCACCACAACACGAAGTAAATATAATATAGTTATTGAAAAGCAGGTTTGCATAGCTTTTTTGTGATATATGATGAGTATCCGGAATTGAGGGGTTAATTTAGCTAAACTAAAGAATAATGTGGACATTACCTTCTATGTACAAATTCCGGTACTTCTCGGAACTGATTATATTTGAAAATATGTATTATTTATTGAAATTTGATCACATTGGCAACTAATTATTATTGACAAATTATTATCTCAAGACAATTAATATTGTAATTATTAATACAAAGATCGAACACTCAGAAAAAATTTCTTCGATCCCGCCGGATTCGAACCGATGTCTTCTAGCATGCCGTGGCAAACGCTATACCAATTAAGCCACGGAACGAACCAGCGGACCACGCGAAATTTTCTGTGTTTTGTTGTCGTGTCTTTGCATTTGGCTTTTCAACGACATTTTAGTCGTAGCGCCATCTATGAGAAATCTTTAAAAGTTTTATCACCCAGTTAGATACCTTTACAGTTACCGGCCCTAGCGAGGGATGTCGCTATTCACTGTATTTTAAATTTATACCATAATATCACTTGTTTATTAATGGAGTAATTTCACAAAAAATGATTGAATATCAATTCAATAAAAATTTAAAATTAATATTCTAGTTTTCTATATATACTTACGTACTTAAATACTTCAGCCATTTAAAAAAATAATCATGAGATAATTTATATTTTGGAATGTTTAGAAAATAAACAGTAAAGGAAGACGAAACGGGTACACCCATACTAAGAAAACGTTCATACTTTAGGTAAATTTACTCCCTCCATTCCGATCACTAGTGATGACGCATGCTATACTCGATGGACCATAGCGCTAATTGGTCTTGGTCTTGCATTTACCTATTGTTACTTATCAAGCTATCATATTCGCAGACTCAGTCCTTTCTTGCTCAAAATTTACACGGTCGGTTTTGGTCTTGGTCTCGCTATAATTAGGAGGTCTTGGTCTTTTTTTTATAATGTCAAGTGACGGGACGAACAAGTCGTGGGCCTGATGGTAAGCTACACGCCTGTCCATAACAATCGCAGTGTCCTCAGAACTTTAAATCGTAAAGATCTGAGGGGCACTGCCATTGCGCTATCCTTCAAAACCGGAACACAGTAATGCTGACTGATTACTGCTTGGCAGTAGAAATAGGTAAGGTGGCTTTGGTAAGGTTACGATAATTCACTATATTGTTCGGATGTTACACGGCACTTCATCTATTTGTAATGTTCACAGCTGTACTCGATTCTAAATGCCTCGCCGGCGCGGCGCACGGTACGTTATCGCTGCAAAGCGCGTCTCAAGAGAGAGTGAGTCTTGTATGAACGGATTGAATGATGTTTAGGGCTGCGCCCACATGGCAATACTTCCCTGGACGAACTCTTTCACAAAGAGCTCTACTGCTACTAAGTGGCTAAGACTGCAAGACCAAGACCGATTTTAGGCATCACTAGTTCGCGGCCCTCTGAAATCGTGTGAATTCCCCCAACCCGCGTTGGAGCATTTATAGAGCAGTTATTGAAACGTATTTAAAATTTTTGTAACCAATTCTCAAATTCAGACTGGCTTTCAAGTTTAACCGATTACAGTGGTGTTCTTTTGTTTACAGAATAACAGCCCTAGCTGGTAACGACGAAGTAAAAAGGGATCTTGTGAAGAGTGGCATTGTGCCTATTGTAACTTCTCTTCTTACTAGACATTCTGTAAGTAACGTGTGTATACAGTGCTTTTTTTTTAATGGGACACTATGGGGAAATCCGAAACCATAGAAGATACAAGAAAACTTTCTTAGGAACCATTAAGTCTTTTTTTGTGAAAACAATTTTCGCATAGTAAATTTTTTGCTCAAACGCTAGTTTTCAATAAAAAGGAATAAAATTTATTAAATTTTTTTTAAGTGCTGATCGACTCAGTTTCATGAAGGGATCATTTCATTGTATGAGACAAAAAATCGGGCCAGCAGAAGTTGGACGAATTTCATAAAATATTTTTCATACAAAATGAATGAGATTAACTAATTTTTTTAAATGCCGATAGACTCTGCTTTTTCTTGTGTCCATGGCACCCGCGACACAGGGTTTCCCTAGTGCGGGGCTATGTTGAGCGTGTGCGTTATTTATTTATTATTATAAGGATAATTTCATTGCATGAGACGAAAAAATCGGGACTAGGGCTAGTGAGCAGTGCGTTATGATATTACTCTCTTCAAGTGCCTCTGGGCGACTCGGAACTTCTTGGCGGACTTCTTTGTAAGAGTCATGGACTTTGGCTTTGAGTTTTAGGGGTATATTTCTCCCGTCCTGGGAATCGAACCTGGAACCTCTGCGTGGCAGTCCGGCATGGTAACCGTTCGGCCACGCAGGCAGTTAAATCAATATGTCAAAGATAACATTAAAATTCGAATAGCTCTACTATTGTACACAATTACCTTCCAGAACAACGCGATATCAACAGCATTGACCCTTAAAACGATAGCAGCGCTCTCCCTACGTGAACCTGGTCATAGTAAACAATTCCTCGACAGTGGCGCTCCAGAGGGCATAGTGCAGTGCTTAAAGATACACCCCAATGACTCAGCTGTGCAGGTGAGATTTGTTACATAAAGAACTAAGTAGTACGGTATTCCTGTGTTTCTTATCGCTTAATCAATTGATCATGGATCTGAAGTTTATTTTAATATCTCAAGTAACACTACAGATATTAACGATTAAAGTAATTTTTTCGTCTTAGTATGTAGCTTGCGTAGACCTACTAAAATATGATGGCTTATATTAGTGTCCGTCAGGATGGCTGGACCAAACAAGATATACAAATTAAACTGTGCTCATTATTTACTTACTGTTTTCTACTATTTATAGTCCATTTGTTTAGATACTTAACTAAATGTAAACAATCTTGATACATCTTTTTATTGAAACACATGCTTTACAAATCAATAGGTATAAAAATAGACACGCAATTTCATATGAAGCTAAGTATTTGTATTTTGTATTTGAAGGTAAGGGAAAATCATTTTATAAATGTATATTTCATTAAATAAACATCTCAAGATTGTTTACATTTATTTAAGTACCTAAACAGATGGACTATAGTACCTTTATTAACATATTTTCTACCTTCGCGCTAACGGAAATATTAAAGAAATAAAGTGGCCAGCCATTCTGACGTAAGGTTGGCTGGACCACTTTACGTTTTTCATGGTACTAGCAGTATATAGTTTACTTTTTTATATAACTATTTACTACCTAATTTCTACCTGAACATTCTATAATAAGTTATTAAAAAATAATAACAAAACGCCTTTGCAAAAGGTGTCTTCTGAAAAGACAGTTTATCTTCTACAGTACTACATATTTTGCTTGGGAGGAGCGACAGGGACACCGTCTTTAGCTTTCTTTTTTTACAAACGAAACTATAGTCATTTTAAAAATAGTTCAGGTGATACAAAAATAATCATTATATATATTATATATAATAGTTTTCTTGTAAAATTTCGAAGTTGGGGATTTTTTCTATCGTGAAAATTTTTAGGAATTGTGTTTTCACATCGTATACTTAATCAGTGTGTGTCCCCAATTGTACTATATACGTTTTCCGAAGTGATTAATTCAACGCTCACTGTTATGCGCAATATGAGGTTGTATCGATTCTTAATAAAGTCATTTCAAAATCGAAAATTAAATCAGTTTGGAGTGGAACCCCCAACTAGTTGGACCAAGGGCAAAGTTTTTTTCCCCAGGTCCAACTAGTTGGACTACGCAGTTGGACCACGGGTAATAAACCAATCTGAGAGGTGGATATAGATCACTTTGGAAATCATTGCATTATACTAAATCAAATGATTCCCTAGCATCCATTATAAAACTATTTTTTTATTTCAGAAAAACGCTTGCTGGGCAATTCGCAACCTAACAGCGCGGTGTCGAGAGTACAATTCTAAATTCCACGAACTCGGCATAGAGGCTTTGCTGAACGCAGCATACGACAAGTTTAACAAAGATTTTGGGTTCGATATAAAGTCCGCGTTGAGAGATTTGGACTGTAATGTTAAGTTAGACGAACAGTGGACTGGCAAAGGAGTACAAATGGAACAATAATGCACCATAATAGTTATTTTTGATACAAGTGCGGAAACTTAGTTATTATTCACGAGCCTCGAGGTAAGGCAAGACTCGAGACAATTGAAAATGACAAATCCGCACGTGTATCAAACGACGTTTTTTAATACAATTGCGAAAAAACTACATTGAAAATAAAATAAAACAGTATTTATTAAAAAAAACTCATTTTATTTCTGTCTGATAAAAATTCAGAGTACAATGGCAACTGTTGCCAGTATTCGGTCACATTAAAATTACTATTTTAGTGGCGCGGCGCGCAGTGGTCTGGCGTAATACTCACCTCCGGTCATTGTTAATACTCAATTAGCCATCTTTATAGAAAATATTTTGGTATTTTAAATGTAACCCGTTGTTTTATAAAACATCTATGCAATTTAAACAAATAAGATGTTTGTAAGTAAATATAAGTTTTAATGACTAATGACTTACGTCACAAATCACATAAATATTAAATAAATATACAACCTCTTGTATATTTATCTATGTATAAGACTTGAAACAACAGTAAATTAAAAAAATGGAAAAGTAAAAAGCACTAGAGCGAAAAATCCAACTATCGGCACCACGTTTTGAGCAACTGTATTAAAATAACCTATTTAATTATTGCAACGACATTGTACATAGGATAATTAACTTTATTTCGATTATGTAACGTACAAACTGGATACGATAGCTGCGAGAATTCTCCAGAAGGCGTTCGACCTGTTTTTTTTATGATACTAAGAGACGGGACGAACAAGTACGCCTGATGGTAACCGACACGCCTGCCCATAACAGTTGCAGTGCAACTCAGACCTTTATATCGCAAAGACGACTAGATGTAAACAGCGAGATCGACTATGTAACGGGAAACTGGTACTATTACGCTTAGTTGGTATAGCGTCTGGCCGGATCGAAGGAATTTTTTCTGAGTGTTCGATCTTTGTATTAATAATTATAACAAACTAGTGGAGTCATTTCACAAAAAATAATTGAATATCAATCAATTCAATAAAAATTTAAAATACAGTGAATAGCGACATCTCTCGCCAGGACTGGTAGCTGTAAAGGTACTAACTGGGCGATAAATCTTTCATAGATTTCTCATAGATGGCGCTACGACTAAAAATTCGTTGAAAAACCAAATACAAACACGACGCAAGCATACAGAAAAGTTCGTGAGGTCCGCTGGTTCGTTCCGTGACTTTTATTAAAATCTAAGAGCATCCATCTTACATAAATAAAAATTTTTGAGCAACCATTTTGGTAAAAAAAAATATTCGCAACCATCTTATGTCAATTTTTTTAGTACCTACCCATTTTACCCCAATCAAATATTCACGATAAAATTTCGCTTGCTCTCCTCGTCGCTTTATGCTTAGTTCATAACCGTAGTATTTTGCAATTTTGCAATACTGCTTTATTGAATAAAGGTTTACTTAATTATGCATTATTTAAACATATTGCGGTTACAGCACTGACCACAGACGGCCGAAATTATCGCAGAGTCGATGAGACCAATTTTCAAACGTGCGTTAATTTAGTTTTGTAAAACTAGCTAGAAAAGTCAGTCAGTTTTCGTTGAGAAATAAAGTTGTGTTTTAATAACCAATACTGGGACCACTAATAATGAGATTTGTCTACTTAATGTCTTAAGCTCAATTTACATTGCCGTGGAACGGAATGGAACGGGAGCGTCGTTTCCGCGGTCGCTGGAATGCGCGAGAATTCGCCGGAAGACGCGTGACGTGATTTTTGACTCGTATCTGGTGTGTACGAACACAATTGACCATAAAGCTCAATACACTACGTACAATAATCGGTAACCTATCACAAACTCGAGAATTTTTTGCTCGAAATAACATTTGTTCGAATTTTCATTGCACTGAAAACCGAATTATTACGAAACAGTTGTTCTTTCAGGATATGTTGAATGTTTATCGCAAAGATACGATTAGGTTCGGTTAGGTTAAGTTAGGTTTAAAAGAAAAAACATTTTCCTCTCAAAATTACTTTCGAGGTTATGAAATTTCGACCAAATGTTATTTCTGGAAAATGTCATTTCGGACTACTAATAGGTAACCACAATAATCATTACAGAAATTCGCTTCCATTCCGTCCGCCGCAATATAAATTGAGCCTTAGGGTAACGGGCGTAGTTGCAATGCCCATTAGGTGTTTTCGATTTTTTG